AACCCACAAGGAGGCAATTAGCAATTACGAGCGGTGATTCGAGTAGACAACCACAGACGCAGCAACAGGGCGTGAATTTCGCGAAAACGCGTCAAAACCAATCATGTTACAACGCGTCGTCACTCAATTATCGTAACACGCGTGAAAGTAAGACCGATCCGAAAGTTGAATTTCCGTCGAGCGACGATGACGACGACAAGTCAAAAACGCCTAAGGGCGGACCAATAGCTACGCGAGACGCGAACGCGAAACGCGAAAACTTAAAATCGGGAACGAAACACATTTCCGTAATACAACGACAACACGTTAACGCCGATGGAGAACAATTCTCATCGATGAAGATTACTGACGTCATGTCCGGAAGATTAGAGGAGTTGGACTACAAAAATGACGCTCAGCCAATGAAATGTCAGATCGCGAAAGACGAGCAAGAGAGCCGTACTTTCAAGAAAAACGACGAGGCATCCATTCCAAAGAACGTAGTTGGTCAACGAAAGAAGAGTAAGGTCGAAAGTCAAAGGACCAATCAGGATAAAAAACGAGTGGAGATAGAAAAAGGTCACGTACAACACGTTAATATCGTGAGGACCAATGAGATTTTGAAGAATTTAGACGAAGAAATGCATAATGAGCAAAGCAAGAGCGGTACGTTGAAACCTAAATGTCCGTCCATAAAAATTAATTTCGATGATGACACAGCAGTCACGACATTGGTTGACACAGGATCCCAATTGTCAATTATATCATACGCGGTATACGATGACTTAAAGAAGAAAGGATTGATATTAGACGTCCTACCAATCAGAAAATTCTTACTCAAAGGAGCTTTCCAAGAGAGAGGAGAAGTCGTAGCTAATAAGGCACGCATTTCATTCAAATATATGGATCAGACTTATACGCATGAGTTCCACATCGTGAGAAAAATTTGTTACGAAGTCATCTTGGGAAGAGATTTCCAGATTAAAAACAAGATGCTGATAAAATTTGATGGGACACCTCAAATCGTATTTGCTGAGGAACAAGAAGCTGAGGTGACGCAAAGGATCGCACCAATCACAGCGGAGATGACGGAAGAAGAAGCTCGAGAGGAATTATGAAAACTTGTCGACGAATACGAAGACATTTTTGATGGAACGATCGGGTGCGTTAACCATTACGTACATGACATTGATTTCCGATCGGACAAAGCATTTAAGAAGAAGTCGTATCCTATACCCGAAAAACATTTACCAAGAGCAAGGTCGGTAAATGGACGACGGCGCAAAGGAAGGTCTTCTCACCCACTTCAACAAAATTGGCACCAAAATGGCGGTCGCTATCTTACAGCTGTTCAAAGTACTCATTTCTTTGCCACAGCTGTCAGTTTAAATAGAGGTTAAGGGTAGACAAGAGTTGTTTGAAAAGTAAATGCAATTAAAATTACAACAAGAAATGGTAAAATAAAAGGAAATAAAGTGTTTTGATAATAAAATTAATGTAATGAATTGTTAGTAATAGAGATTTAAATATTTATTTACATTTAACAATTGTTTGAAACGTAATTATTATAAATTGTAACGATATTGTAATTTTGAAAATATGTAACGTATGTGTTATTATTTTATATAAAAATAAAAAACCATGACATATAAATTCTCAGTTATATTTATTTTTCTTAACATAAAATATGTTATTATAAATGTAATATCACATCAAAAAGTATATAATTTATGAGAATTATTAACTGAAATTATTAACTAAACGCTTGTCTGAATGCACTTTTTGAACCAAAAGATTTATGTTTCGACTGTTTAATTATTTTCTTTTGGTTATTAACATGAATAATTTGACGAATGTGAATATAGCCGCGGACAATATTTTGAAATGCATTACAAGATTTACAGGGTGGTATGGTAGAATGTACCCAAGTTTTAATCATAAGTAATAAGTGTTCAAATAATTGAGGATGTAGCGCACACTGATGCAAATGCTCTTGAAGATGTGCTTCGACTGCAGTTATGTATTTAAAAAGTGGAGTAGAAGGATTTTCTAAAAATCCGAAGGAGAGAATTTTGGTATAAATCGAAAACCGATTGCTGTCATTCGTAGTAAGTGTCATTGCACATGATCGACAAACGTAATGTTTGCGGAGAACGTAAGATATGGCACTTCCAATAACATTATTGATGACATTACATTGAATTGTATTTTCTATGGGTTTAACATAGCTATAATCTTGTTCATCTGCGTATGGTACATTCATACATTTGTAAGGTGAAATACTTGTATCTTTTTCTTCATTTTTATTTATACTTTGTTTTAAAGTAAAAAAATCAATGTAATGTTCATCATCATCAGATTCATAACTTTTTTTGTCTTATGATTGTCAACAAATTGACAAGTAGTAATGAGACGAAGACATCTTTTTACTTGTAAAGCCGTTGGGTTAACATTTCCATGTCTTCGCAATGTAGAAAATAAGTTTTCCAAAGCATCCTGATTTAAGCGAGAGGTGAAAAAGTAATGATAACCATCTTTAAAAAGTTTGTCTACAATCCACATCGAATTTAAAGCTGATATTTTGATACCAGTTTGAACTGGCTTCCATGCTCCTCCAATTACAATATGCTCAATTAAATACAAGAAGTTATCAATAATTGCTACTTTTTTCTGTTTATTTCCTGGTGTGATTGCATCGTTTTGATATCTACCATTCATAACATTAAACCAGGATCTGACTGTTCTTAAGAACCAAGCTGTAGTTAACGCATCTCGTTCTATAATTTTTAGTTGTACTAAAGTCTCTAAAGCGGCTGCTGTTCTCTCCGAAAATATATGAGCTGCAGCTGCAACATTCATTTTATTGAAATTTGAAGGTTTCAAGATATCTGTAGTGATATTTGGCGCAAGTTTCAACTGATAACGTCTTTGAATCTCTTCTAATTGCTCGAGATATCGAAACCGAACTTCATTACAAGGTAATCCTTCAAATTGCATAACCGTTACAGCTACTTTTATAATCAGATTATTCATTAGAGCTGATCGTAAATTTTTTAATAGATGAGGAACATCTGGAAATATATATAAAGATTCATCCGGTCGTACAGGATGAGTTATAAAAGGTGTGTTATTATCTTTGCCCACTTTGAAACCTAATGTTCGCCAAACAGCTTGGTTCTTTGATCTCATATCTGAGACAAGACCGTGTACTTTGTAACCTATTTTTTCTACATCCTCAATTATTTCTAAAATTAATTTACACATGTCTTTTTCATCTGATGATTTTGTTGTAAGATGCCACGCGATGTTCTGTTTCCAATTTTCATTTAATCCTCTCAGCATAAAAACAACAACACTTGAACTTAGTGTATTTTTATCTTTACATGTTGTTTGACCGATGAAAGACCCTAAAGCCGTAAATAAAACACAAAGAAAAGGAACAATAAATATAGATATAATTTATTACTACATACGTAAGAAACATCAAAATTTATGTGAAAATTAGGAAAAATGCAAATTAAATAGAAAAATTTTAACTAATAATCTAAAGTTGTACAATAAAGTAAAGAATTTTTTGGATTTGGATTGGAAAAAATTGTTGGAGAGTATATATAAGTGTAAAGTGGGTGCTTAATTTATACAAAATGAAATAAATATACAATGTTAATAAGTTATTTCTTATTCACAATAATAAAATGCACTTACTTATTTCATTGTGTTACTTTAATTGAGATACCAATATGAAAAACCATTTTGTAATTTTAATAAATATCTACTATCTTATTACTAATACTACTTTCTACTTTTAATAAGTACTAAAAATATTAATTGGTCTATTTATTCCGTAAATAACAGTTGTTTCCAGGAACTGCATACTCGTCTATCATGTTGTTCATTTTCCAAAAAATTCTTGTATTAAATTGACTGTACAAAAACAGTCAAGTCACCATGATCATGTTACAGATGGGGTGGGACCCGATTGCCCACGTCACCGATTTAATGTAAAAATATCAGATTAACTGATTCAGTGGAAAAACTCCAACCAACGGTCGCTGTGATCAGTCGCAACGTGGTCAAACGGGGCGCTCCCTACAGACGACCAGTAGATTGATGGTGCTGTGGCAATGAGCTCTATTTTTATATGAATTATTTAATTTAACTATTTAATTATTTAATTTAAAAAATCTATTTCCATTTTAATGCTTTGTATTACCTGTGCTGACATCATACTCCAACGTTTTTTTAATATCCATCTCATCCATTAAAAGTACACAATCCGATTGATGTGAAGATTTGTGAGTTTTTCTTTTTTTTTTCCATTAAGGAAATCACGTCTTTTAGCACGCCAGGGCTAAAATCTAGTTTATTTATATGTCTACATAATGTGGAATAAGATGGAAGAGGTAATCCCATATCTTTCTTTAAATACAAATATGCTTTCCATCCTACTGTAAGCCAAAGAACATATTAATCATTGTTTTATTTTATTATCACTCATGAATAAACAAGTACTCATAAACTATTCCACTTACCAGCATATCTTATTTGCGTAGCCAATTTTAAACATTCTGGAGACCATTTTGATCGTGGACCAATTAACCCTGATGCAAATTGTTTAAGAATTGGCATTTCTTCCAATCTTTTCGATAGTGTTGCATATTTTTTTTTTAAGTTTTTGTATGCTTTTATGTGGGCATTTGTGCACTTCTCAGCTTTTAATCTCAACAGCCTTTCTTTTCCAAGTTTTGATTTAAGTATATTATTTTTTTGTTGTGTGTGAACTAATTCTTTCTTAAAATATTTAATTAAATTGGCTTGTCTGATTGTTCCATTATTATTAGAATAGTATGCAGTTTGGAATGTTGTAACATTACTATCTTCCGCAGTTTGAGTTCCGGTATCTGCGGAAACAAACACAGGCTGACGATCATCATGTTGAACATTTGTGTCTACAAAAAAAGATAAGATTGTGATTAAAATGTTTGAAATAACATAACATAATATTTACCACTTACCATTAATAACATTTTCTTCAAATAAAATAGTTGCAATTGGTTCAGTTTCATCTCGTAAACCTTCTTCAGAAAAAATAGTTGCAGAAGATGCAATTTCATCTCGTAAACTTTCTTCAGAAAAAATAGTTGCAGAAGATTCAGTTTCATCTCGTAAACCTTCAGTAACAATTTCCTCATTTACAAAAATAGTAGGAATAGCATTGGGTTATAATGTGTGCCATCCATCCTGCCGCCCACCTTCAAATTGTGAATCGTCAAAATGAAACTGCAACGACAACAAATATTAATTGCCTATTTATTATATTTGTCAAGAATTGCAGCAAATGTTTAACTACACAATTTTAAAACCTAGTATATTAATAACACACTTGCTAAGTCTCGATACCTATTATGTCTTAGTTAAATAAAATTTAATAATTTTTGGTTTGCAAATTGTCCTGTACTAGGTTTTACAATTGAACACCATAGTATACAATTATTATTTACATCAAATAATATTATCAATACCTCACATAACCTCGAATTCTCTTTCGGATATGTATTACATTGCTTGCTCCAAATTTCTTTACGCTGTTTATCGCGAGGAAATCTAAATAAACGAAATCCTTGTTCCGCACGATTACGACAATTCTTTGCACAACAAGCTGGCATTATTAATGTATTTCCGTTTCGAACTAAATATTTTCTTCCTTCCACAAATTTTACACTACCTCCTATTTTACACAGTCGCTTTTCTCGTAGTGTCACCGTGACTGTAAATGTAATTAATAATGCTCAATAATAATGCTCGATAATAGTGTTCGATTTCATATGTACAGAATACAAACCTGAAAGACCAATACAGACTGCCGCTCTCGTACGACACACACTCACACATACTTCGTGGACCCAAAATGGCGCCCGTGAGAAGACCTTCCTTTGCGCCGTCGTCCATTTACCGACCTTGACCAAGAGTACGCGAGTATATGAAAGAACTGGAGGAAAAAGGAATAATTGAAAAAGCCGCGACTCAGTACATTAATCCATTGGTGGTGGTAATCAAGAAAGATGGGAGCATTAGACTCTGTTTAGACGCGAGAGAGATTAATAAGAGAATGGCCAATGACCATGCACAACCGCCAACCATCGAGGAAGTTTTCAGAAGAGTAGGAAGAAAGAAATATTTCACAACCCTTGATATCTCGCAAGCATTTTGGCAGATTCCATTGACACCGGAAGCCATGCAATATTGCGGATTCATGTTTGACGGACAGACCTATATATTCAAAAGAATGCCGTTTGGAATTAAGACAGCTGGAGCAGCGTTTACAAGAGCGATGAGAGAAGCCTTGGGAGACGACTGTTTCGACTTCGAGATAGTTTATTTAGATGACGTCATGATTGCGTCGAAAACATTGAAGGAGCACATTCAACACCTGAAGACAGTCTTCGAACGTCTCAGAAGAGTAGGATTCAAATTAAATCTGGAGAAGTGCGAATTCATGAAGAAGGAAATTAAATTCTTGGGACACACATTCACCGAGATTCAAGCAAAGATGAACGATGATACGCGATTAGCGATCATGAATTTTAAGAGACCACAGAATAAAAAGGAGATACAAATGTTCCTAGGATTGATAAACTGGGACAGAAGATTCATTGAGAATTTAGCAAGAATGACAAGAGTATTGGAGCAGTTGCTGAAAAAGGAAGTAAAGTTTGCCTGGGAGCGCGAGCATCAAGTGGCGTTCAATGAAATCAAAAGGGCATTTCAAGAAGCTCCTAGCCTGTTTCTGATACGACCCGATATGAAGTTCGAAATTAACGCAGATGCAGCGAGAACCGGATTGGGTGCGAGATTATACCAATACCGTGAGGGAGAAGAAGCGAAATACACGATCGCATATTTAAGCAGGAGTTTGAAAGGCGCCGAAGTGCGTTACACCATTACCGAATTAGAATGCTTAGCATTGGTATTTGCCTTAAGAAAATGGCATACTCTCTTAATGGGGAGACACGTGAGAGTTCACACTGACCACAAAGCTCTACAATTTTTGAGTACGTGCGTTCAAAATAATCATCGCATAGCGAGATGGTTCGAATTCATGCAAGAATTTGACCTAGAGATAATACATATTTCTGGTAAGGAGAACGAAATTGCGGATACTCTATCAAGATCCAATGAGGATGAAGATCCGGAGGAAGATGACGTAAAGCGCATAGCGCTGATCAGAAATCATTACAATGGAGCTAATACAGAAGAATGGATACCGTGGTTACAAAGGATCCAAGCACAAGACGAAGAACTACAAATAGCGGTACAGGAGCAACCGGAAGAGGTCTACCGAAGAGACGGTTTGATCCGAGTACGATGCGACGATACTGACCGTGTAGCAGTCCCACCTAAGCACACATGGGGGCTAATAGCAAAAATTCACCGTTTACTGATACATTTCGGGACGGATAAAGTAATAGCGTTTACGCAAAAGTATTTTCACACATTTAGAGTAGCGCGAATAGCGAGAGACGTTGTAGCGTCGTGTAAAATATGTCAAATGACCAAATACTACACCAGGCCCACAGTTGGTAGACAATACTACGACTTGCCTGAAGAACCAATGAAAACGGTTTCTTTAGACTTGTTCGGTCCATTGCCAAGGACACGACAAGGATTCAAATACATATTAGTACTGATGGATCAGTTTTCGAAACTCACAAAATTCTATTCAATCAAAGACCAGAAGTTTGATACCATAGTCGAGACATTAGAATCGAGATTTTTCAGAGAAGTGGGAGTTCCGGAAGAGATTTTGACTGACAACGGAGGCCAATTTATAACGGCGAGGTGGCGGAATTTTGCCACAGAACGTGGAATCACCACGAGAAAAACTTCGCCTTATAACCCATAGTCAAATCCGGTGGAGAGAGTGATGCGCGAACTTGGACGCGTTATCAGGGCATATGCCAGCGATAGACAACACACATGGTGGAGAATAATAAGCAGAGCGGAAGATGTCATAAACGACACCGTTCATTCATCAACGGGTCATACACCCAATGAAATTCATTATAACGTGGAAACACACTGGCACGTTTGCGACGAATTGCAACCGATGCCTACGCAGCAAAATGAAGAAGATAGACTAGAACGAGTACAACAGGCGAAAGATAAATTAGCCAGTCAGGCTAGAAAGAGAAAGATACAGGCAGACAAGCATGAGGTGGCATCTAGGCTACAACCGGGTGACGGCGTAATGGTCAAATTGCACCGAAGATCGGATGCAAATCGAAGGTTGACTCGCAAGATTCACCTAGTCTACGATGGTCCATACCGTGTGGCGAGAGAAGTGCGCGAAAATGCCTACTTGATAGAGAGTTTGGATGGACATCCGAAAGGAGTCTACAACTCACGGTAGTTAAGACCGTACAGAAGACCAATCCTGAGAGAGGACCAAGATAATAGCGACGGAGAAAGTAACAATTTGCACAGCGAAAATGAAGATTCACATCAGGAAGATGATGATTCGACGAATGAAGATATTAATTCACAAAGTGAAGATTCAGAAGATTATGACAGTCAAGAGGACGAATTAGAAGTTTGCGTGATTACGATGCACGAATTAACGTCATCGGAAGAGGACGATGCCGACTCGGACTGCGATTGGACGATATTAACCCAGAAAGCCGAGGAGTACGATGAACGTTTTAAAACAATAAATATTAACATCAATGAAGATCTTACCAAAGAGCAACACAATTCTGCCGAAAAGCAATGTAAAACTAACGAATTAACCGGTGAGTCAACAATGAAGACAACCGAGAAGAATAAAAGTGAACAATCAAAAGAGACAAAAATAAAAATCGAAAATGCCGAGGAGCAACTCGAAGATGCCGAGGAGCATATTTATCAACTGAGTACATCACAGGAAGACATCAAGAATGAAGTTAAAATAGAAATTGCCGAGGAGAACACCTCGAGACAAATAAACACAATGAGTAATGCCGAGGAGCAAATTGAACCGGCTAATAAGCAAGAAATGGATAACCAACCAATTAAGGAGGAGATAGGCGAAAATGCCGAGGAGAACGCCGAAAAGCGTGATAAACTACCTAAGGAAGAAAAACTTAGACAATCCGATGAGGACAACATTGAAAAACGAATAGCTGAAATAGAGAGAGAAATTAGTGAAAGAATAAGTGCTATCAAGACAGAAGAAGTGGGGGAGCCTTTCGATAAGAAAGATGACTCCTTCATTCACATCAAGAGGGTTCGTACTTACCTGAGGAGCGGAAGTGAAGATTCCAGCGACGATCCAGGAAATCAAGACGACCTGAAACATAAAAAGAAGAAATTAAAATCAAATAATGAGAAAAAAGAAGATACTCACCTGAGAAGCGAAGAATCCGAAGAAGAGGACTTCGGCGAAGATCCAGGAGACGAGGACAACTATAAAAAATGGAAAAGATTGAAAGATTATTACAAGGATTCCAATGACGAATCGGAAGACGAAGAAGAAGAATATGATAAATGGAAGAGGAGAAAAAAGCAAGTAATGGAAATAATAAGGAGAAATAATAACTACTGAGCTGAAGATTGCCGAGGAGAAGGAGCGGTGGAACGAGAAAACTCGAAGCCAGCGTACGTTGCGAAACCCGCGACGAAAGTCAAATCGCTATTGGCAGAGAGGTTTCACTTAGCATCCTGCAGTCGACTGACTGATTCTGAAACAGAAAACGAAGAGGAGGATAATAATTCGGAAAACGAAGACACCGAAAATAAAGATGACCAATTAGAGTCACCGGACGAAATTATGTTAAGTGAGAGTAGTATGAGCGAAGGAGAAGAGCGAGAAATCGCAAATTGTTTCAATCAAATTCAAGAGATAATTAACAGAAGATTTAACAACAATAATAACAATAATAACCAACAACGTGAAAATGCAAACGAAAATCCGGAGGACAACAATTCATCCGATTGAAATAGTCGAAATGACGAAAATGGTAACAATCAACCAGAAGAAAACGAAAATTACGATAGCGAAGGAGAAAGAACAATACAATCGTCAAGAGGATCAACAAGATCATTTAACAGCGCATTAGAAGAAGAATTATGCATATCCATAAAAGATCCAAGCAAAATAATATTTTCCGAACAGGAAAGATTGAATATAATAAGTTACAACATAAAATTTAGAAGCAATTCAGGACATTGGATACGCGAGCCAATCAACGGCGAGTTAGAAGTTGCAACGAGCGACGGATGTGAAGCAGCCTTAACGCGTGTGCGCGACACACTGCGTGGCGAACGCCATAACGGCAGATACAATCGAGCAGCCGTAGTGAACGGACACTCGATAGCTCGAGTCCACAGAGCTCAGAAAAGTTTTAGCGATATTCGTAAAGTGCCACAGAACGAAAAGATGAGCCGAGAGAAGAGAAGACTGGAGAGATGGGAGGATAACCTCCAACGTAAAGTGAAAAAATACACGGATCAACAGCGCATGCTGGGAGTGCGTCAAGATCGAATAATGCACATGGAGAGATACGAAAGAGAACTGTCTCCCATGGAAAGCGACGACGAGACGTACGATCGAGAAGAGATTTCGGCACAAAACAAGACCATCAAGATAATCAAAGAGTGCGAACAAGCCCGCGGCAGAAACGTATTCGACGTGGGGACTCGTACGATCAAGGACGACGCAGGAAACGAGGTGGCGGATATCAAGACCATCTACGTGGTGCGCGACTTGAGAAAGAAGGACGACAAAAGACAATTCTCATACGAGATACATGCGACAGTTACGCAAGGTGCAGTGACAGTGTCGACGAGGGCGAGCGAAATCAACGAAGCGACCCCGAGAGCGATAGCATCCACGAGTGCAGCGACGACGTCGAGCACAGCTTCAACGCCGAGGATAATGATA